GAAAATATTTTGGTGTACAAGTTTCGTAGAAATGATTTAGTAGAAGTAGTTTCGTAAATAAGGCAACTTTAAGTAAACCCTAAGTTCCGAGAGGACCTGGCTATCTGCGGAACTGCACACAAGTAATTAAGAACACGACAAGATTAAATAAAAAAGAATAAAAGCGAGATTGAGAGCAAGAAGGAGTTTTATTCCGAAGTCGCGTAAGAACGGTACAACGAGGGTAGCCTTAGCTGCGTGAGCCGTCGGCGATATTCCTAACCCTAGCAAACTAAGACTAAAACCCTAGTTGAGACGCAGCTTGATTAACAAAAGGGAAATATTCCTAAATGCTAAGTTTGGTGGTGAAAGCTCTGAAAACTCGTCCGCTGCTTTTGTCCTCTGCCTCTTCCTTATATACTCTCTTCCTAGACGGTTTAGTCTCTCCATTTTGCTCATATTCTAGTTTATCGGAATCTTCCATTTATCTCGATCTTTCCTTTTTCCCACGGAAATCTTCTATTTATCTTCAAACTTGCCATTTATCTGCGAATTTGACATTTATCTTCTTTCCTATGAGTAAATCATGAAAACGTTGTCGTATCTTCGGGTTAGATTTCGTTAAAGTCGCGAGTGGGCTTTTATTGCGTTTTAGGACTTTCTGAGCCGTTTAGCGATAAGAAACCGTTTTACGACTTTAGACGATATCGTTTCCTGATGCGATGCCGTTTCAAGTAAGTTTCTCGAGTTAATTGTAAAGTTTGGCAATGTTCGATGTTCCGATTAATCATTTTTCGTTTTGTACGATTCACTCGACGTTTTTATTAAAAACGTATTTTTACGATTTCTCACGTAAAATTTCGAGTAAATCGTATAGTTTAGGAAATGTTTGGTGTTTAGTTTAACCGTTGCCGTTTTATTCGATTTCCTTGAGTTCTTTCGAGAAAACAAGACTTTACGGTTTTTATCGTAAAACTCAAATGATAAGACGGACTGAGACGAAACGAGTGACATTCCGACCATGGTTTGGAACACGATCGTGCCGAAGGATGTATGCCTTGATTCGAGGACGTGGGAGATCGAGGCTCGGGAGAATTAGCTTGACGTACGACGAACCGAACCGGAACGGTTCAGCTTGCCGTACGGCGAGCTATACGGGACGCTCCTAGCTCGCCGTACGGCGAGCTAGATTGGCCGAACCAGCTCGCGTTTTATGACGGTTACAGTTTTTCGCGGTTTTGTGCTTAACTCGGAAGATCATGTAATCGGTGTTTGTTTCGTTCTTTCGAGATAACGATTTCCGAGTTTTCCGCAGATTTCCTTTGTTCGGAAACTTATTAGAATTTTATAAAACAATTTCTCAGGTTTTTATAAAACGATTTCTCGAGTTTTATAAAACGACTTCTCAAGTTTTATAAAACGTATTATTTTTTTACGGGAAGTTTTGGCCATTGATTTCGTCGTACCGATTTTGACCCCAACAGCTTGTGCATGATAATATCACAGTACAGGAAATTAAGGATATTGTGACAAAATTTTCTGTCACAATAAAAAAGGATTCATAACAATATTATCATTGTCACATTTTTGTTACCAATTATTAATGGATACAATACGTGTGTCACAGATGTTCTGGAGTAACAAAAGTGTCACAATTTCTTGCGACTAAATTTTTTTGTAACAAACCGTCACGCATTGTTACGTTGTATATTGGTAACAGAACTGTGACAATGTCTTACTTATCTAATTGTGTCAAACTTTCTTAATTTGCGACTGTTTAATGTGACAACTATGTCACTGATAGCGACAGACCTATTGTTACAAAATGTCACTAATACAAACAATAATATAGTCTTTTTACCGTCACAAATTCTGAAATTATATATTGTGTCAAACTGTCATTATTCGTGACTAATTGAAAGTCTTCATTTTGTAACCTATTATAACCAAAAAATAAGTTAAAAACGTACTAATTAATGACTAAAAAAGGATATTTATCCGTCTTAAATAAGTACTATAAATGCGTTACAAAATTGTTGTATTTTAACATTCCTTTATGATTAATTAATTAACTGAAAATAAAATAATAAAAAATTAACTCAAAAATTAATTTATAATTTAAATTTTATTTATTAATAAAAATCAGAATCCAAACAAAATCTATTGAACAAAACTAAACCAAAATTGGAAAAAAAAAACTAAGTAACCAAACTCGGTTTACTAATCTAAACATGAAACAGCTTAACCTAAAAAAATCTTAACCCTACATCTAAAGTAGACTCGTCGCCGTCAATTTCTTCTTCTTCTGCCTCGTCGTCTTTGAACAGCCACCGTCAAACCTCACCATTGTGTCTGCTATTCCACGACCATTAAGCTTTCTCATCTCTCATGACTGCTCATGACCAACTTTCTCTTTTTCTTCTTGTCGGCTCTATCTCTACCACCACCGCTATCTTCCTCTGCCATCTGCCACACAACATCTTGTTCAAAACCTGCAATAACACAAACATGTTAAGTATGAAGGAATATAAGAAACACTAAGTAAATCAATTCACTCCCATTCGTACATACACTATTCGATTTAAACACAAAAGCTTTCAATTAGCTTAAAAAGAAAAAAGAACGAACTTGCAGAATGAGGCTTCCAGACAGAGTAAATCTTCATGTTACATCTACAAAAAAGAACATATAAACAATGGGAAAATTGTCATTTAAATCACCAACTTTCAAATTTGGTTGAAATAAAACACCAACTTTCTCATAAGCCAAATAAACCCTCAACTTTTGTTGACAACCCATTTTAGTCACAAACTTTCGCCGACCATACCAATTTAGTCATATCATCAGTCAACAGTTATATTTGACTAATGGTATGCCTAAAATGGCTTTTAAAGTTGGTGTTTTTCTTGGCACAAATATAAATCAACAATTTTTCAAAATATTGAAACTTTTAAAAACTATAACACTATTAAATAAAATTGTAAATAAAAAATAAATTCCATTAAAAATATAAACATAACTCAATGTAAAATTATTAATTAACATATCCTTAATTGAGTATTTTAGCTAAATGTTATTTTGATTTTTTTTAATTATTTACGATTAATTTTTAAAACTATTTTTTTTAATCCTACACGGATTACGTTTTATAATTTTACTGTCAAAAATTTGATAATATAATATTACTTCAATTCTTGATTTTTTAAACAAAATGAGTTATCGGATAACAAAAAGAGTTATCTATTTTAGTGAAACGTATTTTTTTTAAATGCAGAAAACCTCTTGTAAAAATTTTAAAGAAAATATATAGATTTGTTTGAATATCTTTATTATAAACTTAAAGAATCATAAATAATTCGTTAATCGATAACTTTTTTCATTTAAGAAACAATAGTTGAATTAATATTTCATCAACAACCTTTTGAAAATAAAGTAATAAAACATAATTCAAATAGGATTATATAAATATTTACAAAACTTAATCCTATAGAAATAAAATATTCTTATCATTTTATAACCAAAATACTTAATTAATGTATGTTAAATAATTATTTTACATTGAGTTTTATTTATATTTTTTATTGGATCTTTTATTTATAATTTTATTTATTAGTGTTTCAGTTATAAAAATGTTTTCAATATTTAAAATATATCAAATATTGTAAAAAATATTGATTTATATTTGTGCCAAAAAAAACATCAACTTTGAAAGCCATTTTAGGCCTACCGTTAGTCAACTATAACTGTTGATTAACGATATTCCTAAATTGGTATGGTCGAAGAAAGTTTGTGATTAAAATGGCTTGTCAAGAAAAGTTGAGTGTTTTTTTGACTTATGAGAAAGTTGGTGCTTTATTTCAACCAAATTTGAAAGTTGGTGATTTAAATGACAATTTTCCCTATAAACAATCAGGTACAAGTGTGTATGTGTGTGTGTAGAATTAGAGACATAGGCATGTTAGATTTCAGAGAATCTAAGATTACCATCGTCTCAGAGAAGATTGATGAAGAGTTGTGTTAAATAAGACCACCAGTTCTGTAAACAAAAGTACTAGATTTCATTAGAAGAGATTATAAGATGAAAAAAACTTGAACAAAAAAGAAGGGAAGATGAAGAAACGTACCAAGGAGGAGGTAGCAGAGGTTATGGTGGTAGTGGCGGCCGAGGAGGTGATGTGATGGTGGCTCGGACAGATTAACAACATGGTGGTTGAGGCAGAAGTAATGGGGGAGGATGTGAGGGGTGATGGTGGTTTGTGTTTGTAGAATTATAGGAGGAGGATTGTTAAGGTGGAGAAAGGATAAATGAGAAAAAATTAAGTGTCGGAAGAGAGAAGAAAAGAAAGAAAGCTTGAGAGGTCGGATAGAAACGAGAGAGGAGAGAGATATTGTGAGTGAGAGAAAAGAGAGATCCCTATCTTAAAGTATGACCAATAAGAAACAAGTATGAATATAACCAAAAGTTTCATTTGTAGCCTGTAGATTAAAGTGTCAATCAATGGCTAAGATGAATTATTTCATTTAACACTTATTTCAGTAATTGTGATTATGTTTTGACTAAATTTTTAATATAAAAATCAGTTTATTCGTTACATATAAAATAATGATATAAATTTAACAAAATAATTAGATTTCATTTTTATAAACTATTTTCAATTTAAATAAATTAATACTATAATAGTAACAAGATAATTAGTGAGTTGAGGCTTTGGAGTATAGGGTTTTAGGTTTTGATTTAAGATTTAATATTAAAACTTTAGATTAAATTTAAGATTTTAAATTAAATAATAAAGATATTAGAGTTAAGATATTAGGTAGAGAGTAGAGTATATGATTACTTTGGGGTATGAAGTTTGAAAATATTAGATTTATGACTTTATATGTAGGTTTAAGTTTGGGATTTAGGATAAAAAAGAAAGAAAACTAACTTAAAGTGGTTTTATGTATCCAAATTATATAGTCTATACTTTTGTTTATAAATTTCTACAAATATTCATTTTGAAATTTATTATAAGTGTTGGATGTTGGAATTTAGGGTATGTTTAGGGTTTGGAGGTAAGATTTAAAACTAAGTATTTTGTTTGAATTTAGAATATACATGGAGTTTAATTTTAAAATTTATAATATAAGTTTGAGGCTTAGGCTTCAACTAACTGCACCTTGTCCTCGTCGTTGGATCATAAGCCTTTGTCGTCACCGTTTATACTTGGAAAATGCCTGAGAGGGGACGAGGATAGTAAAGAAGAGACGATGGGTTCTTTTGCTGCACTGGGTGGGTTCTGGGCGGTTCCGGCGAGACCGGATTTCGAACAGGTTTGGAGCTTTGCCTCTCATCAAGAGATGTTTTTAAGAACCTGGTCTTAGTGATTGTGTCAGAGAGTTTCTTTTTTTTTTTTTGTGTGGAAGATCGATATCTCATCGGGAACAAGATTTTTACTTAAGTACCTTATATAGGGTAAAAAAGAAACCGTGGAGGTTTTTTTTTTGGACCCCTTCTGTTCTGTTTTTCCAGCAAAACAGAGCTGTCGTTTAAATTCCAGATACTATTATTATATTCTTTGTTTTTGTTGCTAATTGTGTAATGTGTTGCAAAAACTGTGGCGAGCAAATTGCGTGAGCTGTTAACCACATTATTATGATACTATTATCTAATAAATGTTCCACACTTAAGTGTTTGTTTGGTTTTTTCTCTGCATTTATTGATAGACAAAAAACTTTTACGTGAGTGTGATTGTCTCGCTGAAATCGAACTGGAGGATGAATATTTGATATACCTAGGCCTAGATAGACCCATACGAGATGAGAGCTCGAAGGTCTTTTCGAATCTTCTTTATCTCTTTGAGGTATTCTGCATCTACATCCACTGCCATTGTCATACTTTGTAAGAGCAAGCAAAAGAAATCAAGAACTAGGATTGAGAAATGTATATGTTTATATATTAAAGAAGGGTCTAAGAGAGCAATATATATTTTATATATTAAAGAAGACCAAAGAATTTCTTCTCGGCCGCGCTATTAACCACTTCATGAAGTTTATGATCCACAAGCTGTTGCAGATTATTTTAGTTGCAGGCCGCATGTCGTTGCCTTTATGCTTCTTGAGGTATCTGTCAAGATTTTTTGTTTATAAACTCTTTAGAGATGATTCTGCACTAATCACTGAATCATTTTAAACTTTGATGACTACACTTTAGAGATACTGATGATATCGGATAAGGTTTTCGTTTTTGTATCTCTGGTGGTGATTCATCACAATGCAACTGTGGAATACGCTGTACAAACGTCAGGAGAAGACAACACAGAGTTGATACTCCAAAAATAATTTGAAGATAAATTATTCAGTGAGAAATTGGGCCTTACTAACGAAAATGATGAGAGTATAAACAAATGTTCAGTTCTAACAAAATATGGCAGCACACGCGAATAGCTTCACATAAAGTGGTCTGGTAGATCTGACCAAAGCACAAAGGTGTAAAAGTTTTTCTTTATCCTTGACATCTTGAACAAGATGAGAGACCATGCCATCAAACCAGACTCTTGTATAGTGTAGCAAAACCATCAAACCAGACTCTTTTATAGTGTAGCAAAACCAGCAAAACCAGCATCGACAAGGAAGACACAATACTAAAGCAACAAAAATAAAAGGTAGGAACAAGAAAATCCGAGCCTAGAGCTCCCCTGGAAAGAATGCCCCGAGGGATTCCTCCAGTGTGGCCTCCTCTTCCCAGGGACAGCAGCCGGCGATACTCTCCTATTAGATCCCAACGGCCAGCACGCCTCTCCAAGCATTCCTTCATAAGCTCCCAGCAGGCGAATGCCCTAGTTGGCTTCACAGCTACATCATGATGAGAAACTACATCCCAGAGTTGAGCACGAAGGAAGAGAACTTCCTCGTATAAGTGAACATAACGACTCATCGAGCTAGCATCGCCAGGGGTACCTTGGAAGAAAACAAGAAGAAACGACAGCTGGAGGACCTGCAAGAGTTGTCCGCGGTATGGACATGGTAAAGGGATGTCTCCTTCCGTTCTTTGCCCTGAAATAATCATCGTACACCGACTGGATAGAAGCTTTAGGAACCTCACATGAAACCAAAATACGACCAAGTAAGTGACATGAACCGCAAGAACCCGATAAAACTAAGGGACCCCTTACCCCAGACATGGCTGTGACGCAAGGCGGACGGGCTCACCAAGAAGGAGATCCATCGGAACCGCTTTGGGATGCCCAGAGCCAGCTTCGCTGAAACCTCACCGGTAAAATCCATAGGCCTTGCCACATCTACAAAATTGGACAACATAAATAAGGAGGCCACGATGAAAGTCACACAAAAACCTACTAGAAACTAACCAATGGAGCACCAAAACAGCGGGTAATTAGGGATTCCATCAATCTTCATGAACCTGTATCTCCTATCCCATGAATCGTTGAAAGGAAAGCTGCCATGGACGCCGCGTGGAGGTTCTTTTACTAAAGCCTCTCCTTCTCGGGACCATATTTGGTACATCTCCCTTATATTTTGCAAAGGGACGAAGCTGTAGGAATACATGACTTCATGCGCCCGCAGTGGGATACCCTGAAGTTCTCCTAGCACCTGAATGGCAATCAATGTACCCCACGACGACGGAGTCAGATGCGAAGGGGAAAAGCCAAAATAAGATGACACCTCCGCTACCAAGGAAGGAACATTTCCCTCATAGACGGCCATCTCACCAACGCCACCATCTGATGCGTGTTCGAATTTTCCGGCACATCTCAATCCCACCAAGTTAGGAACTAAGTATTTCCTATGGAGCTAGATCTTCCTCCCCAAAATTAGAACGAGACTGTCACCACCCACTTCATGAGGGAGGCAAAAAAGCCTGCACCGTAGAGGAGCCCGAGGCGTCATTACATCATCTGCTCCAAGATCGGCTCTGGGAGATATCTCCAGGGATGAAAATGGATCCAAAGAGACACGACGGGGACTAACATGTCCCCCAACGCAGGAAGATGAAAACAACGAAAGATTGACCTGATTGTTCATCTTCTCAAGGCTGGAAGAAAGGCGTCCTAGGATCTCGGGTAACATCTCCCAATGAGAGAAGGTAGTAATATATACCTAGGACGGAAACCCTCAGGTGACTCCAAAAAAAGAAAAAACTCTCCTTCATAAAAGCAGAAAATTCGAAAAAGAGGAAAAGGAGGGAGCGAAAATAAGAAGTTTCCTGTTTTTCAATTCCAGCCGTCAGAGGAACCGAAGAACTAGAGCGTTCTTACATGATGAAATCACCCTGCTAGCAAGAAGTGATCCTCGACTTAAGAAGATTAAAATGTGACTAAGTCTCACGAAGGTTTTTCCCTAAAGAAATGGAGGGGAATTTAAAGACATTGCAAGTGATATCTTCTCAAAGAAGCAGCCACCCCCAAATCTCGAGTAAGATCCAGCTTCCAATAATTCAAAACAAAGAATCCCGCCTTCCGGGGATTCGGGAAAATGGATGTGATATGGGTGCTAGTTCAAAAAAGTAAAACTGATATTCCCAAATCAAACGCCGACGGCTAGGGTTTTCTCGGTCTTCCAAGGCGGATTAAATCATGACTCCACGTTATAAACTTCAAATGACTCAGGCCCGGAAGATATCTGCAAAACACCATTTTACCAAGGGAAATGTGACTTACTTTAGGCTCCAAACACGGTTCTGGCCTAAACGAGGACCTGGAGAATAGGGCGTCGACAGCGATGTCTTACTTAAGGGGAATCTGCCGAGATAAAGCGACTATGGTCCATTAAGACACATTTTATCCCTTGATTCCATCAAGGAAATTAAGAAATAAGGGGAAAACTATTGGGAAAAATATTGAGAACCAGATTCCTCCAGCCCCCGGGCTTGGCAACGGCCTCTAGATCCCTGCTCCGAAGGGACCTAGGGCCCGGAACCTGCACTCAGGTTCCCCGGGCCCGACCCCTGCTCCAAAACCGACCCTTGAGTAAAATGGAAGTTCTCCATCTAAGGAAACTCTCCCATATTTGCCAATATGGAAGAGTTTAACCTAATGCAAGCGGACAATATAAGGGGAACCCAAACCCTAGAATAAGTTATCGACACTTTAGAGATTGAGAGACTAGATCTAAGTGGCTAGGATTAGAGTTCTTACACCAACATTGCTCCCCCCCTTTCGAATACCTTATAAGATCTCTCTTTCTTTACTTGTTTTGTTTCTTGTTTCTCTCGATCTCTCCTTGCTTCATACAAACACTCTCGACTTCTTTCTATTCGTACAAACCTTCTTGTGTTCCGTAGTACTAAAACGACCTTACACAAAAATAGCATAACAGCTACCTTTTTTTTTCTGTAAGGCCTTACAACTCGTAGTAGGAAAGTATGGGCCGTAGATTCGAAGGAGGTGAGCCCTTGGTCCTTGGGATGAGTCTTCTGGAAGGGAACCGTGGGCTCTAGACTCAGCCCAAATTCGGTTTTGATTTTTGGCGCTTGGTTTAGCGTGTGGTGATGTCTCCAAGGCGTGTAGGAGCCACCTCTTAGGGTTTTCTACCCTTTCTCACACCTCTCGGCCTTCCCATCTCTTTTCCTTTTCCTTTTCTTTGGTGATCTCTCATTTCTGACAGTTGCTTCATTCTCGGAACAGGTAGCGATCCTTTCCCTTCTCTTTTTTTTTTCGTTTAGCAGTATCGAGACCTCCCAACAATTCTTTAGGCATGTCTTCGGTGGGAAGTAGAGTTCGGTCTAAGAGAGGGGTCAAAACCCTAGATCCAATAGAGTCCCCTTTGTCGTCTGTTGACTGGTTGGTAGAGAGTCCTAGGTCCGATTCCATTAGTGTTGTGAAGGAGGTTGAGGCTTGAGGGTCCTCGATGATTGGTCATCCTTCGCAAATACGGGAGAAGGAAATAGATGAATGGAGGAGGAAGTACAACCTCTCAGGAGAGGTGGTTATCTGTACTCTGAGCCCTCTTGAGAGAGTATCGGATTTTGGAGTTGATGAGTTCCCGATCTATGAGGCTTATTTTGAATCAGAATTTAGGGGTCGGGTCCCTTCCCTGGTGGCTAAGGTGTCAAAGTTTTTCGATATATCTCTGGGCCAACTTACCCCTTCAGCCTGAAGACTCCTAGTAGCGATTCAGAACCTAGGTGTGCTCGAGGATATCGTCTTAGGGGATAGAGAGGTCTTGTATGCATACCTTAATACTCCCCTTCATAGTGGTGGAGGCTGATATTACCTCTATCCTCTACTTCGGAGTCCTCTTGTTCGAGAGATTTCTAGGAATCAGAAAAAGCGTCATCCCGTCTTTAGAGGATCTTGGGCTGAGAAGTTCGT